AATAGCTCTGTCTTATTATATGATGCAACTGAGATTCTTCAACAGTCAAACAACAGTGCATACCAGCCGCAGTTCATCGGCTGGATCTCTGTTTCTGTTAACCTATCTGTCCTGTTCTTTGGGATCTATAAGATAGACCCAGAATCCATGTTAATTGGATCTACTCTGTCACTTAGAACATGAAAAGCTGGGCTTCTCCTAAGTTGAGTTTTAAGTCACCAGATTCCCTCAGTAAATCTCACAGGAAGTTGAGAAGCCAAGTGAATTTGCAATAGTTTTCAGCATATGGCTTCCGTTGATTACAGAAAAATGCAAAAGAAAGGGGAGGGGAGAGTAAAAGGAAACAAAAAACCAAAGCTTCACTTTATCCTGATAAACAAGGCATTGTCCCTATCTCCAAATGTGTAGGAGGTGACCAGGCTGAGGCATCATCAGTTTGGAATCACTCTGCTCCCAGAAGAGACCTAAATCCAACCCCTTAAATTCTGTCAACTCTTTTCTAGCACCAATTTGCCTTGATTATTAGTAGATTGGATTCTTGTCTATATAATTTTAACTATTGTTACAATAGTAAAATAAGGATTCTTAGGAAAGAAAGTGGAATAATAGCGTCACCATACAGTCAGTCGTTATGAAATGATTGAAATTACTGGGGAAAGTGCAAAAAGAAAAATATAAAAATCAAAGTAGAGATAAAATAAAGGAGGATAAAAGATGTTATTTATTTATTTGTTTGTTTATTTGTTTATTTATTTTAGAGATTGCCCAGCTCGCTCACAGATACATGTATAAAATTATAAAGCAAATTATATAGATAAAAATACAAAGAAACAATTCTATCATAAGAATAGTATTTCCAGTCATTGTACAGTTTCCTACTAATGACACAGCATCTCTTAGAATTATCCAACCATTATTGTGGCACAATGGGGACAGGATATTTCTCACTTCAGCAATGGCTTGGATGATGCTATGAAGACATTTTAAGTCATTAATGGGGAAATGGCCATTGATAGGCTTCACAGTGGCTATTAGATATCCATCGCTGATAAGTAATTATTTTATCTAGATGACATGTTTCAAAACAGGATCATCCTGAAGACCCAATTGTGGGGAGAGTGACTATTAAGGAAGACTGTAGCCTCTAAGCATGTAAGTAGCAGAAGCAAGGCTGCCACAGAGAAGAGGGAGTCAAGCTATTTTCCAAGGCGCCTGAAGGCAGGACAAGAAGCAATGGATGGAAATTAATCAAGGAGAGAAGCAACCTAGAACTAAGAAGAAACTTCCTGACAGTTAGAAGAATTAAGCAGTGAAACAACCTGCCTCCAGAAGTGGTGAATGCTCCAACACTGGAAGTTTTTAAGAAGAGACTGGACAGCTATTTGTCTGAAATGGTATAGGGTTTCCTGCCTAAGCAGGGTGTTGCACTAGATGACCTCCAAGGTCCCTTCCAACTTTATTATTATTATTATTATTATTATTATTATTATTATTATTATTATTATTATTATTTAGTTCTGATCTCCGCCTGTGCCCCACAGCATCAACTGCATGTGACGGGGAGCGAGGGCGGAGTCCTGTCCCTGCTGCCTGGCTGCCATGTCCTTGGCTGCGCTCCTCCATGTGGGTCGCACTTGGGGGCGACTCTCCTCCTGGGTAGCTGCTGGTGAGGAGGAGGCTGCAGGGCGAGGTGGGGATGGGGCGACGGCACGCGTGCCCACAAAGAGGGCTCTGAGTGCTGCTCTGGCACGCGTGCCATAGGTTCATCACCACTGGATTAGTAGGAAAGAACCAAGACACCTGTTATGACTTCTGACCCTTTTAACCACCAGGTTACTGATTTCCTTTTGTAATTCACCTTGTGGACAAATATAGCTCCTTCAATTCTGCATTTGTGTTAATGATTTACAGTGTGTGTGGATTTCTGTGTGTGAACAGCTGAGTATATTTTGTTTTCTCTGGCCTAAACAATCAATAAACTGTTTTGGAAATTCTCTTAACAGAATACAGTGAACTCATCTCTCCCTAAGGTACACATTGTGTTTCCAAATGGGCTTCTTTCCCTTAAGCTGTCAAGTTTTCAATGTATTCATTGTTTCTAACAGGGCTGGAAGAATTTTGATTTCAAATATTCCATGTTTACACAGAGCAGGGCAAAGATATCTCTGTTCAAAATCTGAAATGGTAGGAAGCTTATATATTTGGAATTACTCAGATGTCAAATGTTTTAACATCTTTACTATTTTGGTCATGCCTCAAAGGAAATAAGAGAAATAAAAAAAAAATAGCAAGAGAGAAAAAGAATAATCTTGAGTTGGAAAATTATTTAGAAGACCTGGAAGCTCTCTGTGAGTGAAGAAGGCAATATGGATCAAAAATTTAAACATTTTAAAATTATCAGTTGGCTCCTTTGTATGTATCAGCTGTTGTTGCATGCTTTTTTCAAATGGATTAGTAATACCCATTTATCTTTTTCTTCCTTTCCCCATTTATTTAATTATTTATTCATGCATGCATGCAGTGGCAGGATTAGCAATCATTGGTACCATTTAGAGTGAAACAGTAGCCACCAGCTCATGTATGCTTACTCATTTAAAACCATATAGGCTGAAAATAGTTGATTATCTCATTTTCCAGACTTGTCTTCCTGATAGGAAAACATATGTGAATATTGCTCTAAGAAAAATACCCCACAATTTTTCATATAATAGCCTTCTAAAAAGGGCTTCCTTACAGCAATGAGCATTAAGTTTGGAAGTACTAACCAAAGTGTAGCTGGCCTAGCAAGAGTCAAGGTACTTGAATATGAAATCATCCCAGAAATATGTTGCACAAATATTTTGTTTAATTGGTAGGCTAAGTCAGGGGTCCCCAACCCATGGGCCTTGGCCCACTACTAGTCTGTGGCCTATTCGCAACTGGGCTGCGTGAGTGGCCAGCTGGGACACATGGGCAATCAGAGCCCCACTCAAGTGAGCATCGCAGGTGCTCAGCGCTTCACTTGCGCGAGCGTCCCAGGCACTCGGGGCCTCATTCGCACAAGTGTCATGGGTACTTTTGGCCTCACTCGCATGAGCAACAGATGATCGTGCACACCTGCCCCTCTCACATAACCATCCCCTCTTTTCCCCCTCCCTCCACTCCAGACCACCGACCCAGAAAGATTGGGAAACTCTGGGCTAAGTCAGTTCTTTATAAGTGAAATGGATATTAGTTCATTTTTAAGCTATCTGGCTATGATATATTCTTGTAATAAGAAATTAAATTAATAGAAAGAATTGAGTCATCTATTTAAGATAAGTAATTTGTCTAAGAATCATTCTTATTGCCAACGTTTTGCATTTCATCATCTTGCAGATTTTAGTGGTTTGCACAAGTGTTTAAATTTAATTGATTAAACAATTAATTAACTGACAGAAAGGCAGGTAATTAGTAAAAAATATTTCAGTGACTAAAACAGCTGATATATAAGTTCAGCCAATATTCTTTGTCTTGTCAATTTTCTCTCCAGGTTTTGCAGTTTTGTATTTTAAAAAGTATACAAATATGCATGGCCCATCATGACTTCTATTCAGCTATGTCACGACCCTGGTTGACCCTAAAAAGCTAAGCAGGCCTGGATTTGATTAATCCAGCTATACAACGCTCTGAAAGAGCTTAAGCTTGATGAAGCTTCAATTCAAATAGCCCCATAAAAGAAGAGGTCCGAATCAAAAGAAAAACTGCTTGAAGCGACTAGCTGAATCAAGTGGCTTCAAAACAGTTCTTAGCCTTCATAGCTTTGCAGATTCAAAGACTTTTCTGCTTTTAGGGGTGTTACAATATTACAAATTCAATTCATGTATGGAGAAGCATGAAATGGGGGATATTAATATGATTAGCCAAACTTTAATCCTCATTTAACTCCCTGCTTATCACAGCTCTTCTGGGATGTCAGGGGTTATGTTATTCTGCGCTTCATTCCCTGTTTCAGTATTCAATTTACACATCTGGGTTGGCCCTGTCAACTCAACTGGAAGTTCAGACTGGGCTGGTTTCAAGTTGTTTGATAATAATCACTTGTTCTCACATACAGGATTGAAAAGACTAAATGTTGGGTGCTCCAAAAGTAAAGATGAGGTAGCTAGACTACAGATTCCTCTTTCTCTGTGCCAGCCTCCTTCTTTGCTGCTTGCCTGGATCTTACTGTGCCTATCTGCTTCTGCTTTCTCTGCTAAATAATGACATAGAATATTGGCACCAGGCCCCAACCTATATGAAACTGAGGCCTACCACTGAGGAGAGAGTTTTTCCAAGGGGGCAGTTAAGCATGCCAACAAGTTGTGGCTGCCTCCCGGGAATCTCAGTGATCAGAAAGAGCAGAGCTAATGTTACTCGTTACCGAGGAGAGCAAATCTGAGGTAATTCTTTTGAGTTCTGCTAGGCATAGGCCAGGTTTTGCCAACATGTCCTGCCCGCCTCCCAATAGTGATACTAGCCTTTTCCAGAAGAAGTCCAATTAGCAACTAGCTATGGCAGCCCTTCTAGGAACCCCAGAAAATCCAGTGACCAGATGCAGAAAGTTCATAAGGGGAAGTCAGGGGAAAGATTTTTGAAAATGAATGTTTTGAAATTGGAGTGGGGTATTTTCTGCATTGATTCAGACAGCTTCTTTGTAAGCATTTGCTGGATAAATTAGAAGTTTTTGTGTTGTCTTTTACTCATCACTGCCTTCTTTTCTCTAAAAGAGATTGTGGGGGAGTATTTTTTAAATGTATTGTGGTTAAACCCTTGAAAATATTCATGTGAGATGTGACAAGATTTATTATCTACTATTCTAGTATATTCATCCCACAATGCTAAACATTGCAGCACTTCAGAGACTTTCAAATTTCCCTCTTACAAATTCTGTACAAATCTTTATGTTTTTAAATAAAATATTGACTCTTGAAGTGACATGTGTTGAATTGCATGACTCTTGAACACAAATTCAAATTAAATTATGTCATTTTGAATTTCAGATTTCCAGTTCGAATCAAATCAGGACTGATTCACACATCCCTACTCATAAGAGACAACCAGAAAACTCTAAAACCGAAGGTTTCATGGGGAAGTTGTAGAAACATCCTGGACAAAAATAAGCTACTACCATATTGTGCTAAGAATAATACATGAATTGGTTGATGAACCCAATAGGAGTCAAGGTTTACTTTTTGTCATGATTTGTCATGATTTCCAGAAATCTTAAATTCAAATGGAGATTTGGTTACTATCTGCAGTCTGTTGCCTTGATATATGCCCATAGTCATATTGGGACTTCAGGTAGGGAACAAAAAAACCCAAGGAAAACCTATTGAGAATCTAGAATTTTAAGTTACCCTGGAAATAAGAATTTGGATTGGCACTACCTTTGAGGAATGTCTTTCATCTCGCAGGCATCTAGAACAGCTTGACCAAAATCAAGTGCAAAACCCCATTTGCGGGATGTAGGCAGCACGTGAAACCACTCTGGTCCACGGAAAAAACTCTCTCCATGGAACTGGTCCCTGGTGCCCAAAAGGTTGGAGGTCTCTGATATAAACTGAGTAAAAGAGAAAGAATGATTTTTAAAGAATGATGATATCTGGTTGTTTTCCTTCCCATACAGATTCTCACTGCGTAAGATGCCAAATAAGAGACATACATAGTTCAGACTGGTAAAATATTCATCAGGATAATAAGTCAGGCTTGGATCCAGTTCCCAGAAGTTCTTATACAGCCAAGAAAGGTCAAGAAAGAGTTGTCAATGCTTCAAAATAATAAACAGAGACAAATGATAAGTAGCAGCTCTTAAATTCAGCACAATTTTGGACAAGTTTCCATGTTAGAGAACAGGAACTATAGGCCAGAGCAACTACTAAAGAATTAATAGGTGAATGCAAATCCTCCCCTTGCTTGACATAACAAAACCCTTCCTTTTTAAAAATCCCTATTTTTTCAAATTTTCAGGTCAGCATGAATTCTGGCAATGTAGGAAATTCCCACGCAAACACACCCTTTGGTTCCAGTGGGGAATAACATATAATTTCTTCCTGGTTTTGGAAGAATTAGTGATTATGAATGAAGTTCTGAAACAATGAGTCAATGAAATTTAGTTCCTTTAATTCGTGTGATTTACCAAACTTACCAACATGAAGGCAAAGGGAAGTAAAGAAGTAGTAGAAGAAACAGAAGTCGAAGGAAGCTGTTGCTTGCTAAATTACTGCCTAAGCTTCAGAAGCAGTCTCAAAGCTCCCCCTGCTGGATATATTGAAATTCTCAAGGTTATGAATAAGAGCTGCGTTCATGTATTCCACAATAAAAAGAGAACGTGGTATTGGCCCTTGAATTCATTAGCATGTGAATATATCAAGTAATAGAGTAAGTAAGATAAGCAGTATATGACATTGGCAAGCATGCCATAGTGCAGAGGCACCTTGCCTAAAAGAAAGCAGCCTCCTGTACTAGAGGTTTCCATGGCTCTTTACTTACTGTAGCAACTGATAAGGGGAGAGAAGATAGCATTGTCTGGAAAGTTGGTGCTGATGGAGTGTCAAGCCTGATCTAAACTAACAAGGAGGCTATGCTATCTGGGAATTATGGGAACTAAAAGTCAAGTTGGCCAATGCAAATTGGGGAAGGGTATGCTTGAAGTTTATCTGCTAGGTCACTCTAGATATTTAACAGCAATTTTATTCCATATTAATACAAAATAAGGCGAAGAGATTACACAGTATAAAAGTATATGTTTGAGAACAAGAGATCCTTCCACTGGGATCCATGGAGAACACCATTTCTGAGTCATTTTAGGATTATATTTGACTGAATTCTGCCATTATTTGCTGGCATTAGGAATTCTGACCTGATGAAAATTGCAATAGTAAAAGATAATTGTCAATTGGAGGTTGACTATTCCCAAGTACTGAGTCACCAGATGAGCAGAGTGGTTTGTTGACTGCTATCCAAATTGCAACTGTAAAAATGGACTATATGTTCACACCATAATTCCCATAAACAGCTCAGAGCTGCTGAGTAGCCTGGGGACCAGACTGCATTTTCATAGACATGTGACTCCATTCTGGCCAGACCCTGAAGATGGAGATCCACAGAAAACACTTTTCCTTTTTTTAAAAGAAAAAAACAGTTGTATGGATCTCTACACTTACCAATAATAATGATTATTTGAGTCTAGAAGTCTTGAGCAGAGCCTAGCAAAATCATATAAGCTCTCTGGAATGCTCTTCTTTAACTGAATTTCCTCCATGTGTGCAGGGTTTCAGTTGTTTGCTCATTCCACAACTGAAAGAAAAGCACAAATTCTTGAATTAAAAAAAAAGACTAATGCAAAAACTCTCCACCATTGGAATTGACAAATAGCCATGTCAAATTGTTATCCATTACTCCATCTCATTACCTAATCTTGCTGGATGCAAGACTGATAAAATCATCTGCAATAATTTAAAACAGTTATGCCTATTTTACACATTGGCTTCAGATGATTTGGAAATGACTGGTTTGAGGAAGAGTCGTGATATTTGGGATATTTCATTTTTTTAGCATGATAATTATCCCTGGCTTCTATGAGAAAATAACTTCTTGATATGCCAAAGACAAATCTGGATCTTCTTGTAAAGGACATTTCTCTTGAGCAATAGCTTGATGCTAACTTATCTCCATATTCAGTCTGGATTTTTAATAGATCTGATTAGAGAATCAGAGTGAATTTGCTTATCCCTTAGTATTGTTCTTCCCACTCTTTACATTTTGAGGAAATAAGCATATTTTAGTAAGAAGCAACTATCTTGAATATGAGTTGTAAAAACAAGGGATTTACTTTAAATCTAGTCTCCTTGTTAGCTCACAGTGTATGAGATAATTCCTTGTGATTTGACATGCACAGAATGTGATAGAATGAGGACAAATTCCTTCAGAATCCAACTTGACTAATTATGGCAACTCCATCTTAAGTCTACATGAAGGGTGGCACCATGTCTGAATTGCCTGAAGTGTTCCTTCCATTCCATTCAGTTCTGCATTTTCAGAGGGAAAGGGCAAATGCCCAGGACTTTTCAAAAACAGAAATTCAGTGTTGGGCCTGGCCCAGAGGTCAAGAAATTTTTGAAAATCTGAAGTGACCGTTCTTTCCTGACAGGAGTTAGATGGAAGGTGAGGCATATTTATAAAACATGTCAAAGGTGCTCTAGCAAAATGGCTGCTTTGTCTAAAATGACTTTTTGAGAAAGAAAACTGGTGTGGTTGCTCTACCTTCTCTGGTCCAGGTGTTCTCTATGGTTCTAAGTTCTCTTTGTCCCTTACTAGGTGAGCACTTTTCCAAATAAAACAGTAGGACACAACTACTCATCATTTTTGTTTCCAAGAATGGCTCTGGGCTTGGCTCATTATTGTACAAAATTCCAATTATTTGGATTTTTTTTTTTTGAGGGGCTGGGAAAATTTAGGTATTTCAAAGAAATAAGTGAAACAGGAAGCCTTGCATCATTCCTGGAAAACACCTATGGGTACTTTTCCATCCACTGGCATTTAGAGGGAACAAACAAAGCTTGTCTCTGATGATGTCCAAAGTAGTTATAAGTTCTTCCTAAGATAATCTTCCTTTTTACTAAGCTGACAATTATACACTGGCTTCCCTTAACTTTTTTAAAGCCAAAATAACAAGCCAAATGTTGTACAGCTCCTAGGTTTATATGGATAAAGATTGCAGATTGTTGGAAGGTGCCCAGTCAAAAAAACATTAGGGCTTGTGTTTTAAGCCCTTTGATGTATTCCCAGTATGTCTTTGCTTTTGGCAGCCAGGAAGGCCTCATTTGAGGTGTTTATCATCTTAATTTTTGGCTTCAGCCAATCTTTTTGACTGGATGTTTGGTCTGTCCAGCACATCTAGATAGCTATCTTTCATCCCAGAGGAACATAAACAGAAATTATATTTAATATTGTGAGATCTGTAAGCAAACTTTGATTGTGCTGAATTCTGAACAAATAAAGTTAGGCAGCAAGTAGAAACTAAGGAGGATCAGAACTGATTAGCAGTTAGATGGGAATCCAGCTGAAGATCTTATGACTACCAGAAAAATGGGGAAATCAAACATTTCCTGAGAAAAGATAATGTCAAAGTGATCACAAAAACACTGGTTATATCCATGAAGTCACTAGGAATCAAACTCAGTTCAAGGATACCTCTTCTAATGATGCAGCACTGATGATGTTACCTAGTATGGTAATGAATACCATCAAGCTCAGAGAGTACCAAGGACCCCACCTCTACCTTTTATCAAATATAATCATAAAACAGAAGTCACTGTATTCTCTATGTCATTTAAGGGAAGTGGCTAAAATGATCTTTTATACCTGCCAACTACCCCATGATGCCTCTGCCCTGTATCAAAGAGATTCTTACATAACCAGGGAAAATATGCTTTAATCTCAGTATTTTAGGGAAGGAAATGCAGTAATATGCCCAGATAAAGATAGATTTATCTAGGTAAAATTAGGGAAAGAGAGAAGTACACATGTACCTCTTTACTGGCCCTTCCATGGTCTACAATTTTATCAGTTAATAACCCTTCTAATAATCTTTGGGTAATTCAACTACTAGCATATCAATCCTCAGTAATAATGAAATTTATTAAATTTGCCTCTTCACCCTCCTAACACGTGATCAAATGTTCAAATATGAAATATTTCAGTAAAAATATTAGTGTTTCCTGTCAATTATAGATATTAATGAGTGCTGTTCTTCCTAACGTGTGTTGCTTGATCTTACAAAGCTGATCAATAACAATACAGCAAAGCTATCTAGCTATTTTTTTTTAATTTAGTGCCACTGCTTGTTACAATGGGGGAGGGGAAGTATTCCAGGTATTTTCAGACAGATGGTAAAATATCATAATTAATTTTCAACATTATCCACTTTGACTTGGTGGGATTGGCTGCTCTGCCTGAGGCATCCAAATATGCTGCCCAGCCCTGAATCCATCTGTAATATTTGAGGCAAGCCTCAACATCCTTATAAAAACATTTGTTTGTTTGTATTCCACCTTTAATATTTTTATAAATAACTCAAGGCGGTGAATACATATCCAACATACTTTCTTCCTCCTATTTTCCCCAAGACAACTCTGTGAGATGGGTTGTGTGAGAGATAGTTACTGGCCCAAAGTCACCCAATACTGACAGGCATAGTCGCCTTATGTCTGTCAGTACCTAGTATCTTGCGTGAATTATATCCTACCATACTAATTGCATTACTTTGATTGAAAAGTGGGTTATAAGAGAAAGAGAGAGACAGAAACAGAGGCAGCTTTTTAATCAAAGTTAAAATTAATTTAGCAACAGAGCCGTTCATTGTGAGGCTCAGAGAGAGGGAGATTTTGCCCACCAGTGGCCAAATTTAAGAATGTCTTCTGAAGCGCATCTCCTGCTCTAAGTGCTATTGCTGAAAGGGAAGGGACTATCAATAAGCAAACCCTTAGAGTTGGAATACATCAGGGATGTCAAACTCAATTTCACTGAGGGCCACATCAGCATTACGGTTGCCCTCAGGGGGCCGGGTGGGTGTGGCCAGGGTGGGTGTAGCCTACTGGGTGGGCGTGATGGAGTGGGTGTGGCCTACTGGGTGGGTGTGGCCAGCTGTACATTGTTCGCGTCAAAGGTGCCTTGTGGTGGCCTGGGAAGGAGTGAGATAGATCTGAGGGTCTCTGGCAGAAGGGGATGGGACCAGGGCAAGTGCCAAGGCATGGTCCACTGGAGGAGCCTCACTGTTCCTCTCAGGACATGCAGGAGGGGGGCTTATGGAGCTAAGACTGAATGCATTTCAGCATAGATGACCACCACAAAATTGTACATTGGCTCCCAGCTGGCCTGGGCAGGGCCAAGGCAGTGGGGGCCGTTCCCTCAC